ACTAGGTTGCTGCTTGACGTAGGTTGCTAAACCTTTAAAAATTTTGCACATGGAGGGTATGAAACCAAATAATTTATTTAGATTTTATATATATACATTTGAATAACTAAAAAATGATAAGTTATACATTAATACCATAAATTCCACTATAATTTATAAAGCTTAATAACTAAGATGTATTTTAGTCTAAAAAAATATGAAATTTCGAGCAGACTAAAAAAAGAAATGGCATCCTAAGAAATTAAAATGGCTGAGAAAGCCACTAGGGGAAATTCTGAGCTTCTGATTGGTTATTCATGTCATATATAGAAGTAAGTGTATATAAGGGAGCATTTTCAAAAATGGAAAGAGGTGGGTGGGTGCCACTGTGTTTGACTTATTACACGAGCAATATCTTAGCAACTAGAAAAGATAATACCTTCTTATTTTATATTCTAGCTTGTCAATATCTGTAATTTGAATTTCTAATTCATATTAAACTATAGACTTAGTATTTTGACTTCACAAACACCTAATTTGAACAAGTGCTTCATTCAACATACCAGTGACACACAAAAATCAATGTTTATCTGTGTTTTTAATATTTACTTTTAAATTAAGAAATTAAGTAATGTATAGTACTAACATCTGAATTATAATCTACAGTTTGATACCAAACTTATTAACATAAATTCATGAAATAGTAGTTCAATAAAATTTTGAATGCAAATCAACAAATGAGATGACGTGGCCTTTCACCTGTGACCCATCTCGAAAGGGTTAACCTTAGTGCTCCCTGTCAGTATTAGGTTTTGTACTTAACCATTCCATTTAATTATTTATTAGTAAAAAAATCTCTACAACTTAGTAACCTTTGTGCTTTAGCTTTTCTCAGAACATAGTATCATCAATACAATCTCTAACCAAGAAACTTAATTATTTAGTAATGTCTATAATTTGGCTTTTCTCAGATTATGTTGTATCAGAACACATTCTTTAACTCATAAATGTGATAACTTAGTTACACATGTATCTCTGTACTTTAATTTTCCTTAAAAGTACAATGGTTCTCTCTCTCTCTCTCTCTCTCTTCTTCTCTCTTTTTTATTTTTTTTATTAAGACTAGAACTTTAAACCTGTAAAGCATACAATTTATCTCAATTACTAGGATTAGCTATTAACCAGTGTAAAAAGATTTGAGAATCTTAGTATTTCAGAACTGAGATCTAACATTATTAGCTCAAAACCTTATACTATTTGCCATAACTTAGTTCTTAACATAATGCAAGATAATAAATGCCCAATTTTAATCAATATTTTTTTATTAGTTCTATATATCTTAAATTCTCTTTCAGTGCTTCTTACCAACAATTTTATTAGCTTTAGAATTTTTTAAATCTAAAAGTTTTATTTGGTACTGTTTGTCCCTCAGTTGCTATCAAATTTTAATTTTCTAAAACATATCTAACTGAACTTACCCAACTTTTTTAATTCAAATTCTTGAAAATTTCGGTCTTTTTGTGATTCCTACTACTGATTTAAAGTCCAAACCCTTGTTTCTTAACATCATATCAAAAGTTAACTGTTCCAGCACTCAAACTTCAAACTATTTATGCAGTTACCAATGGAAAGCTCCGATACAAATGTTGCAAGTTCACAAGTATTATTGTTTTAAAATAGAATGTTCTGTGTTTTGCTAATGTACAGACTTGTATTTTCGATTTTTTTATGTCTATAACCTCTTGCATGTATGTGCACACTTTTTTAGTTCTTTAAATTTTATGTTTACAGAGTTTTATGTTGTACTTCTTTAAATGTTTTCTGTGTAACCTGTTTTATCAGTATGAGCTCTTCCATTTTCACTTCGAATAAGTAGCTACTACATTGAGACTCACAATGCAATGCTTCATGGTCTGTGTAGTCAATTAAATATGTTAGTACTGTGTTAACCCATTAACTGCGGCAGGAGCAGCTCAGTTGCCATTTTCTAACTGTGGCGGTAACTTTAATTTTTAGGCCAATTAGTAAACTATTTTTATTTATCTTCTTTTTTCCTTTAATTTTTCTTACTTGAATAAGATTTTAAATAGCATAAATAAAAAACATAACCTTGCTAATTTAGTTATAATAATATAATTCCTTTAAAGAAAATGGTTTAGAGGGAAACTAAGCTAAACTATATATGCATAATCCAACATCAGTCTTTACACATATGTGATGTGTCCTTTCGTTTTCCTTTAGCTGCACAAACACAGCATCGAAACGAAGATCTTCCAGGTTTTCCTTCTTTTTGGGGAGTAAAGTTTGGTAAGTGATGCGCTGTGAGGCGATTAGGAGATGATGGTGGGGCATATCTTCCTGCTTTGGTGGTGCATTCCCCATATTTCTCAATAAGCAACTTTATGAGTTCTATTTTGAACTTTAGCAATGTATTCTTTTCACTAAGCTTCTTATGAATTATAAAGGAATTCAATAGAGTGATATCAAGAAATCTAAGATAGATTTTTTTTGTAGTACTTCTTTAGATGACTCCCAGCTGCATCATAGGATGAAAATATTTGATCCATCTGATCCATGCCTCCCATCACCTTCTTGCAATTGATACACACAAGAGGCTTGCTCTTTTTCGAGTTACCTTCATTTACAGTTTTTCTTTCAGCATCATGGGTAGTGCATATCATCATCACCTCTCTCTTGTCTCTCCATTGCATGACCATTAGTTTACCTTTATATATGGTAATATCTTGTTCATTTTTTGGCTTTGCTTTTGAAACTTCCTTTTCGATTTTTTCACAAAGTTCCAATTGCATCTGTCATGTGGGAAACTAAAAAATCGAAAAGAAGTGGCGAAGAGTAATAGTTATCCATTGCAAGATAAAGCCCTTATCCAAAAAGTCTGTCATTAGATGCAGGATGACTTTTGTTGAATGATTTAGGTATTCAGGTGCAATTTCAGTAGCACAAGGAGGTATTTGAAGATCTGTTTCCTTTCCACTGTAAACTTCAAAGTTATACACATATCCTGTGCTTGATTCACAAAGAAAGTATCCCTCAATTCCAAATCGAGCATGCTTTAGCTGGATGAACATCTTCTATCGTAATCCACCCTTCCATAGAAGTAAGCTCTCATCTATGCATATATTCTTTTTCAGGGAAATATGCACTCTGAAAAGACTCCTTGTATAAGTTTAGAAGATCTCTAATCTTGTATAATTTACCTGAAGAGTCTTTAGAAGCAGAGAAGTGCGAGTGTTGCAGGAGAAGGAGAAATCTATCTCTCAGCATTGTTTCTCAAAAAAAAAAGGTGTTGCCAACACAAGATCCTTTGAAAAATACATCTGAAAATCAGGTTTTTTGATTATTCCCATCAATAACAACATTGCATCGAGTACACAAATTTCGCCAACATTTGTGTCTTTCCAATTTTGTAGTCTACTTTTCTTCTTCAATAATTCCTGAGATGAATTTCTGTTTGCAAATTTCATTAGCATACGCCATATTAGTTTCTGAGACATTTTTTGGTATTATTTCAGCATTTTGAATAGATTAAAAAATCTCCAAAACATTATCTAGATTTGTTTCCTTTATTTTGACACCCAAATCTCCACTAAAAGTAAAAAAATTTGTTTTGCTTCCGATGAGTGACCACTCTATTTGCGAAGTACTTTGTACATTTGTTTGTTCATTATTGGATAAATCATCAATTGTGACTTCATTAGTAAATTCAGAGGATAAATCTAAGCTTGATTCGTCACTTTCACAAAGGTATTGGCAAAGCTCTTCATCGACAATAACCCGATTTGCCATTTCAAGGGAGGAGAAAAAAATTTGAAATGACCCTCTCCGACTAAATAGCTTTTGAGCACTGATTGCTTGGAGGTAGGAGTGCCAGTCTGATACCCTGACTCACAAATAAAACTGAGTTGTCATCAATCACAATAAAACGGAAATTTTCGTCATTGGCATAGAATTATAGTTATATATATATGCGACTGACGGATATTTCCGTCATTCGCAGCTGAGCCATAGAACTTCAGTGATGGAAATATCCATCATCCGCAGCTAATGAGTTAAAGCATTAAATATTTTAATCTTATTGTAACTGATATATGTTTAGTTTAATAAACAGATCTGCTTTCACTTAGTTCCAATGGCTGAGGATCATGACTTGTATTATGAAAGATATACGATGGAAAGAAAAATCATCACAGACTAAAATCTTTTGTTTTGATTTTCTTCTTTTTTATATAATCTGTAATTAGACTTTTCTAAATGATTATAAAAAACAGAAATTGGTTTGTTTTAAAAATTGTAAACTGTCTTTCTTTTTAAAATTTAAACCTCCATATAGAATCTGAATCTGCATTGGAGGAGGAACTCATTCTGGAGCTTTTTGAGTTGGTCAATCTGAAGAATGCTCTATTCCGTCGCCAGGCTGAACTTGTGTATCTGTAGGTTTTTCATCTTATTTTCCAGACTGAACTCATGTATTTCTTTTATATTTTTCAAGTTTTAAATGCACAAGGTTTCACCACAATTTATTATTTTATTCAGATGAGTTGTTAATCTGAACAAATTAGCTTTATTCTAACTTTCTAATCTTGTTGATAACAAGTCTCTGCATGTGTATATGTCTTTATCTGATTTTACTTATGAAAGACAATTTTTTGCACTTGTACATTGTTACCAAAGCTAGTTTGAACTTGTGACTAAGCTAAATTAACTTTTCTGTTTATTTCATATCTGCTTACTGTTAGTTAAGCTAAACAGTTTTTTTTTCTTTATCTTTCCATTACTGATGATTAAACTTAACTCAGTTTTTATGTCTCCTTTGTAACTGGTTAAGCTGGGTGTATTATTTTATCTGTTCATTGCTGCTAAAACTGAGATCACCTTTTCATCTGATTAAAAATTAACTCAGTTCTTGTTGATCCAGTCATTATCACTAAAGCCAAAATCACTTTTTTGAGTTTTTTAGGGGATCCTAAAGATTTTTGGATGTGCATTAAACATGTGTAATTGGATGAATTCTGAAAAAATGGGTGGAGGTATAAGCAATGTTTTCTTCAAAAATTTTTAATACGGCTTTCATGAAAACTGGCTGTCCTCCCAAACCAGTAATTTAAAAATTTAAATGCATCTTTCATGAAAACTGGTTGTCCTCTCAAACCAGTAATTTAAAAATTGAAATGCAGCTTTCATGAAAACTGGCTGTTCTCCCAAACCAATAATTAAAAAATTTAAATGCAGCTTTCATGAAAACTGGCTGTCCTTCTAAACCAGTAATTCAAAAATTCAAATGTAGCTTTTATGAAAACTAGCTGTCCTCCCAAACTAGTAATTTAAAAATTCAAATGCAGCTTTCATAAAAACTGGCTGTCCTCCCAAACCAGTGATTTAAAAATCCAAATGCAGCTTTGATGAAAACTGGCTGTCCTTCTAAACCAGTGATTTAAAAATTCCAATCCAGCTTTCATGAAAACTGGCTGTCCTCCCGAACCAGTTATTTAAAATTTGCAAATGCAGCTTTCATAAAAACTGGTTATCGTTCCAAACCAGTAATTTAAATTTTTAAATACAGCTTTCTTGAAAACTGGCTTTCCTTTCAAACTGGTTATATTAAAATTTCATTTGCTTTAACCAGTAAATCTGCATGTACATTAAAGAGTAGTGTTTCATGAGTAGAAAATATTGTTTATGTTATATATTAGCATTCATTATTTTGAAGCTAGATCAGAGAACTTAAGTTTAGTTCAGTAATTTTCCTTCTTTATACATTTTCTTGTGTGAGTAGCATTAAATATGATGTATAGAGATTTAATATTGTTCTTAGAAGGATAAACAGAATGTTTGCTTTCTAGTCTATTATGTTCATATTTTAAAAATGAAACGTTTGTTATTGTAGCATGCGCTCTCAGAAACTTGAAGAAGAACAGGTAGAACTGGAGTTTCAGATACGATGTCTTATGAATAAATCCAGTAAGTCTTCAGATTATTATGAAGCTTCCAGTAATTTACAGGTGTTTTTTTTTTTTAAGGTTACCCTAAAATGAGTAATTTCTTGAAAACCTGGTCACTATTATGTAAAACCTTGTTTTTTCATTAGAAAAAAAATAATGACAACTATGGCCATGAAAGTTGTCCTGGTCTTGCATTTTTAAAGAAAGTTAACATTATTCAAGCAAAGTTATATATGTGTATGTATAATACATATAAGAAGTGATTATCATTACAACCCTGGGAAGTTGTAGAAAATATTTTTCTCAATTATGAGTCAAGGTTCAAAGACTTCTACAATGTTAATACAGAGTTTTTTTCTTGATTTCTGAAAACAAATTGTTGTAATTGAAAAATATTTTAGTCAAATTATCATTCAGAAAAACAGTTTCATAATTTTTTTTTATGTAAATGTATTTGAAGTGAAAGGGCAGTAGTGTAGGAATAAAAAAAATCTTAAAACTATTTTTAATAAAACAGAATAGTGGTGTCATTAATTAATAATTTCTTTGCCATTTTGGTCAATGTGATCATTATAAAACTCTACAACGAATCCGTGGTTATAATACAACTCTCAAATAAAAGGTTTGAGACAATCAGCATTGCCTTTGGAAAAAAACATAAAATTTCTCCAAAAACAGTCAATGTGTGTAATCAGATTTGAATTTTGGAATCTGAGGTATTATTCTACTCATTAGACACATGATATATAACAGATTTGTGGAGTAACTAGAAAGGCTTCTTAAAAATAACAAAAGTTTGAAAGATTATCATATTTCTAATAATTATCAGTATTGATACTGTAAATATTGATAATTATTAGAAATGTAACAAACCTGAATAAGGAAACAGGATATGGTGTATTAAGAGGAATTAAAATTACTCTTGAACAATCTCAATACTAGATAGTGTTGTTATAATGCTAGTGATCAGTAGTGATAAATGTAACAAACCTGAATAAGGAAACAGGATACGGTGTAGTAAGAGGGATTAGAATCACTCGTGGACAGTCCCAGTACTGGATAGCATTGTCATAATGCTAGTGATGCCTATGATTAGTAGTGATAAATGTAACAAACCTGAATAAGGAAACAGGATACAATGTAGTAAGAGGGATTAGAATCACTCGTGGACAATCCCAGTACTAGGATAGTGTTGTCATAATGCTAGTGATGCCTGTGATCAGTAGTGATAAATGTAACAAACCTGAATAAGGAAATAGGATACGGTGTATTAAGAGGAATTAAAATTACTCTTTAATAAATCCACTACTAGCTACTGGTTTTTTATGTTGTTTTTTCACTATTTGGCATGTGGTGCAATATAACTAAAATTTAATTTTTGTATGTTGTGGCTACTGAAAAATTCTACTGTCTTATAAAATAATTTTAATTACAAAACACATAAGCATTTTTTCTAATGCTCTATGCAAATTAATTCCTAACAAAATACTGTAAAAAAAGCTGGCTGTTATATGCTTATACTAAATCCTTCTTTCTAGAAGAATTTTCAAAATAGCTTAGTATTGTATAAAGTGTAATATTTGTTAAACATACTATCTACAGACACCACTGTTAATAGTCTAATGTTACATAAGTATCTTTTTTACAACAAAACACTCAAGAAGTCTATAGCATAACACATGACATTGTTATATTTTAAAAATTGTTTTTTTTCCAGAATTATTGGACAAATCGTTTAAGTGGTACAAATTACTTGTGATTATTACTTGAACTTGTGAAATCACTCTGTGAGATCTAACTTCACAAATGCATATGCTAAGTTTAATGTATGTTCCAACAGAAATTGTTAACTTTTGTCTAACTTGAATTTTACAACTTACCATTTAAACAGACATCAAAATTCATGGTTTTACTAATTCAATTATTACAAATCAGTCTGTTAAAATAATCACCGTCAGCAGCTGTAATTACATCAACTAAAAGACTGAAGACATGATGTAACCATAAAAAAATTATTTTAAAGAAGATTGTTTGTTTTCTTTCAGTTACATCCAAAAGTGAAGATGACCAAAAGCATGAAGAGGAACTTCTTCAAAAATTACTTCATGTTGTTGAACAGAGGAATGAAATTGTAGAGTGCATTGAAATAAATCGTCAAATGTAAGAATAAAACAAAACTACTACATTATCAAGAAGTCTAGAACCTGTTCTTGTGATCAGTCAATTTGAATTTCTTATTGATCATATTGTTATCATCATCATATTTAATTGTACAAGTAGCTAATATTTCAGTTGTTGGTCATGTACTGTAATAAATGTATTTTCTCTAATTGTTTTACTATTACAGCAGTTTAAATTAACTTCTTATCTTAAGTTATTTTTTTCAGTTGAAATTACTTAATTACATAGAAACTCTTCATATATCTTCCATATTTATGACTTCCAGTATACATTTATACTTTTTGGTTAATTTTACACCGTACTTTTTTGCAATTTCTTTGCAGTTTGTGTTTTAAATTATTACAACCTTTATTTTTTATGTTTAGAACTTACAGTACTTTTGTTGTTTTTTACACAACAACTAAATTCACCTAAAGTATAATTGTGTTTCACTAGTTATTGCACGTATTTAATAATTAATTATTTGAAAATGTCAGTACAAGGTGAAACTCCATAATTACAGAATTGAGGAAAACAAACTTCATTTATTACAACTATGCTTTAGCTGTTACTGGTGAAACCATGATAATAGTGAATAAAATATTTGTGAAATGTGGAGTTGTCTTTGTTTTATTCAGTTTGGTATTCAATAAATAAAATTATATATTCTTGTAACTATTTATAACTTCACTCTCAGTATTTAACTATTTTCAGTTAATTATTAATGAAATATGTATTTTTATTAGTTTTCAGTTCTTTTGTGTCTACAAACATATAAGATGTGCTGTTATTGTGTAAATGTATTTGCTTGAGAATCTAAAAAATTACCTATCTATTGTGTTGTTATTTGTATAGTTATCTTAAAATTGTTTTGGTCTCTTGATTTTTAAATATAAGCACAGTATTAACTGATTTAACTATTTGGTTTCAGAGAAATTCAGGAAGACCAAAGTATCCAGGAGAAATTGCAACAGAAAAAAAGTGGGTTTTTCAAACATGCTGTAATTTTGCATGCTTTACAATTATAATTAACTTGTAGTTTTCAACTAGACAAGTACAAGTAGTCTCATAGTGTCAAATATATTGTTTTCATAAATTATAAATAGACAGAATACCAGTAATATTAATTCACGAGCACTTTTTTTTTTAGTGTTACCAATGTATATCTTAGCAAAGTAGTATCTAATGTTTGTATGAAGTTGAGAGTTTATATTTATACTGATTGTGGTATTTTAGGTTGAAAATGATATTGAAAACCATTACTTACCTCTCTGCACCACTGAGAGCTATTACTTTTTGCACAACTGCCATAAAATTTCCTTTGCATGCCACAAGCTTTGAACAAACTCCCCTCCCTACAAGTGTCTACACATATTTCACCAGTCTATGATGTAATCATTATAATGCTGTAGCCATCTACTAATAACAGGGTTATACAACTTGTATGTACAGTAATATCATGAGCAGTAGCTCACAATCATAGACTCATTCTGTTTTTGGCACTGCCTGTTTTCAGACATGTTTGTTTCTTGTGCTGTTTGAGTTTCTAGTCATTTTGATTGACTACCTTTCTTTATTTAGTGCTACATTTTTTTTCCTTATTGTATTCCTTCCACCTGACTGCACTTTCGTTTCTCTAGCCACCACATTTATTCTTTGTGCTACTTAAAATAAAGAATGCATGAAAAGAAGATGTTCGGAGTCCCAGATATTCTTCTTTAGAGTTTTTCTCCAACTGGATCAATGGCAACCAGAGGTAACATATCTGTTCATGGAACTGATGTTCAATAGTTACTTCTGTCAGGTTTCTGATTTCAATCCATGGCAAGGAACTATGAATATCATGGATATTTCATAACTTCAGTTACTACAATCTTATAGAGCTGTGATGAACCATGGTATAACAACATGATATTTTTCAAACATGATCAGATGGTTGGTTCTTTTCTGCCTACTTTATTTCCAGTTCCGATCCCTCGTTGTTCTGTTTCATTGCTTTATGTGGAGACTATAGATGATTCAGTGAGATCCTCACCTTCAGCCTTTGCTAGTGGCTCTTCTCTCCATGATGAGGAACAGATACCTCCATCTTTTCTGTTGGCCACATTCATTAATCAGGTATGTGATATTCTGTCTTTTTCAACTGTATATCATAACAACTCTTGGGTTTTTTTACTTCATGAGCTTCCACATTGATCAACATCTTCCTTGTCCACTTATGACTCCTTTGCTATGGCCTCTGGTCATGTCCCTTCTATATTTCTTGAACCCCAATCTCTTTTATCCTTACTGTCTGCTTATGGCTCTCCTTCTTTTTCTTTTATTTCCAGCAATCTGCTCATCTTCCTTTGCTATATCTTCACCCTTCACCTTTTCATTGAGGGTCTTCATTATTAACCCAATAGTTTTGATGGGGAAACCCATTCTTATTTGTTTAGCACTTTGTCTACTATTTCTTCCTGTATATTTTTTTTAATGTAGTTTCTCTCTTCTTGTGATCTCTTCTATCTGGATGTTTTCTTTTCAGTTGTTCACCTTCCTTCCTTCTACCTCCTTAACCCTTTTCAGATGGGTCATGGGTGAAAGGCCATGTCATTGCATTTGTTGAATCACATTCAAAATTTTATTGAACTACTAT